TCATCATGTGGACATCTTCAGGTGGTGATGAAGTTTCTGTCCGTTGACCTTGGCATACTTTGATAAAGGTTTGCAGCTGCGCAGAGAAGAGAAAGCTAAGCAAGGAATAGAAACCTAAGCAAGAATGCACTCTCCCCACTCCTCATTTTATACAATGCTAGTTTATACCACCTCCAGCTCGCTTCCCATACTTGTCCCCCCTCCTCCCCCTGTTACTTATGGCAGCCGAAAGATGCAAAGCAGTAGCAGAAGATCTTGAAGGCTGACAGCATCGCTCCCCGGCCTCCTTTTCACTGTCAGAGGCCTTCAGGAACTTCTGCGGCTGGCCAGGCTTCCCTGAAGGCCTCTGCAGCCGATAACAGAGCTCTGGAAAGTCTTGCCAGCCTTGCCGGCTGCAGAAGAAATGGGCTGGCAAGGCAGGTGTCGGGGTTTGCGAGGCCTGGCTACAACTGTCCAAAGGTAAGTAGTAGGGCAGCTCCACTCCCTCCATCCCCACCTTAGCTTAATTTTTACCCATCCACTCTGGAGTGGGTGGGATCTTAATTAGGGCTTACTTTGGGGGGTAGGGCTTATATTGGCCGCACATATAAAAATCAAGCTTTTAGGGGGATATTCTGCCTTTTTAATATTTCCTAGAATATTTCATTTTTCTAGGAGAAGGTTGAGTGATGACTTTCTACACTGGCATCTGAAGTTGGTTTTGATAAAAACGTCTATGATTGCTATGAAACTGGTGAGAAAGATTATATTCTCCTTCTCCTTCTCCTCTGTCAGTCTGTGCTCCATTCAAAATCCAAGAAAGAAATACTTAGACTCCATAGATTAGAGGAAAGAAATCTTTTACTGAAAATTGAAGTGGTAGCTTCAGATAAAATTCTGAATCTGAGAAATTAGGCGCGCAGATCACATATACAAAGTGATGGAAATGTTCCCACCCCTCAAAGTTCAAAAGATTCTTCCAATTAAAAGTTCTGGATATGATCATGTGGACATCTTCAGGTGGTGATGAGGCCTCTGTCCGTTGACCTTGGCATATTTTGATACAGATTTGCAGTTGCGCAGAGAAAAGAAAGCCAAGCGAGAAATAGAAACCCAAAGCAGGAATTTATACTCCCCCCCACCATTCTCCATTTATACAATACAAGAATGTAACACCTCCAGCTCTCTTCCCAGACAATCCACCCCCCCCC